TTCAAAGGATCACCAAGGCCAGGAGCTTTGTACTTTGATAGATAGTGTGGGAGTAATTTAAGGTCTATGAGTGGGTGAGAGATGCGATCTAAAATATGTTTTAGGAAGAACAAATAGAAGTCCACTGCAATTGCCCAGTCCAGAGGTAATGAAGCCCTTAAGTAGGATGGTTGCCGCAGCAATTGGAAAGAAGGAAATAGATGGGAGAGGCTTTGGGGAGGTAGAATAAATGGGGCTTGGATCCTGATTGCATTTACCTTTTTCTCACCCTCTCTTTGACCCTTGTTCCTTCCCTCTTCTAATCATAAAGCTGTATGAGGTGTCCCTTAACACACAGAATTATATTTCCTGGAAAATTTCTCATCAGTATGAAGTAAGGCTTCATTTGTAATAACCATGAAAGACACCCTAAAGGACAATTCTGGGTGTTCAGAATGAAGTAGTAATATTCTACATCCACATTTATTTGTGTTGTATTCTCCATGTATTCTGACTTTTAGGTAAAGTTTCCTTCTTTTATTTTATGATCTTTATTCTTAGAAAAGTATACAGTTCTTCTGACACTCTTGTTTGGTCATGAAGAATGTAAATTAAGATCTTAGAATTAAAGTTATCAAAAATGATAGGAAATTCCTCTTTGTTCCATTATTGAACTCTGAGAACATTTCTGCTCTCAAAGAGCTTTAGAATGTGAACTTTACATATTTAACAAAAAGGATTTTAACAATAGAATTGCATAACTAAATATGAGACATTAAGGAAGCAGTAAACAAATAATTGAGGTAATAATTCTGTTAAATAAAATTAATATATTATTCACTCAATTCTTAAAGGCCATAAAAATAGAAAATATTTTATACCACTATATTTCTATCATTTGTGGATTATGTCTAAACTGAGCTGAAGGCGCCAGTCTGTGGCAACAGGGAAACAACTCTGTAGCATACATATTTATTGGGGAAGCTTTAGCCTTCAAGATGTATTAGTTTTTGAAGATCTGCATGGCTGTTTTTGTCAGGGAAACTTTCGCATTTCCATGCCCTGGACTTTTCTGCATAGACATTTTTGGTAAAACAGGCTGCAGACAACAGATAAGCATTGAGAAAGGAATAATGTGCTGGAGCAGCTGCCCTGCAAAGCTACTGGCAGCTCAGTGGCAGTATCAACAGAGCATGGGTCATAGAACTTGGCAACAGAGGACCTGTTTTTAGCTCAAAATCTACGTTGGAAGTAATCTTCCTGATAGAACACACAAAAAGCTATTACCTTCTAATAAGCACAATCTTACAAAGAGTCTTAGACTGAACAGGCAGAACTCAACGAAGATTAAGGAAGGCAGGTGCACTGGTTAATAAGAACAGCTAACTTATTAGTGCTACAAAACATCCATCTAAATATGTTCTCTGCACTATTTTATTTAAATATGAAAACATCTTTCTTAGCATACCCATACTTATATGTCCACTTAATATACAACAAAACTAAGACTGTGGGTTTAGGTAGCTTGCCCGAGGTCAACAGCAACTGAACCAGGATTTAATCCTTACTAGAATGATCAGACCAATACTGACAGCAACACTGTAAGTCATTTCCCTATAATGCCTTGTGCTTGGTTAAATACAGCAGCCTCCTCCTGCAGAGGATATTGATGCAAAGCAAGAAAAAATGACATGTCAAGAAATGAACTTGAATATATACATGAGAATACATAATATAAATATAATATTTATAAATAATATATAATATTGTTGAGGTTGATTCGTTCTGAGAGGAGGAGCGTGGTGGGGCCAAGAGGCGCAGAGTCACCACACAGACCCCAGGAGTTGGGTGAAAGCAGGCCAGAGACTAGCAGCCCATAGACTCGTTTATTTCAGTTGGTACAGCAGCTTAAATAGCCAAGGCAGCCAATTGGTCAAGGGGCAGTTTATGCCCTAACCAATCACAGCCTGTTGCCAGGCAGGCTCCATTGCCATGTGGTTTCCAAAGCAACCCAATTACAGCCTGTTGCCAGGCAGGCTCTGTTGCCAGGTGTTTTTCGAAGCCATTCCTGAGTAACTGACGCTCGCTTGCCAGTGACCACCTTGGCATGGCCTTCTCATTCCACCACATAATATAAATAATATAAAATGTTATATATACTAATATATATAACATGTCATTTAAGATCAATAGGAAAAGTAGCCAATGTTAGAAAAAAAACACATGGAAACCAGTGGTTATTTTTGAGGAAACAAAGGTAAAGCCAGTACAGAATTTTAAAGACAAAGACAGTACTTTCAGTGTGTTCTGGGTATTTCAGAGATGATACTGAGCCACATTTGTAGGCATTAGTCTTTCGAGAGAATTTATCTGGAGAATATTTACTTTCAGAGGCTGCAACAAGGAGGTCTTTTTATTAAAAATGCCTTGGGGAAAGGATTTTTAAAAGAACAGAATAGTATTGTGTTGTTTCTCAAGAGTCTCATGAAAAAACACAGAAAGAAATGTATTCCCATTAACTCTCCAGGCCATGAACTATGTATGCTCCTTTTGTGCAGAGGGAAAGGCTTCTGGGATGGTAATTATTGTGGGGACTGTGGGATGGATTATTTACTCTTGTTGCAAACTGGAAGAAAAAGGCATTGCAAAAGATTATGGGAATGACAGGGCTACACTGAGACATAGCTCTTCTTGGGACAAGATAAAGTAAGATAAAAATGGAAGAGAATAAGATCAATGAGACAACACAAAGAGAAGAGGGACCTGACCAGGGCAGGGAGTATCCTCTTAGCCACAGTTGGAAAAGGAAAGGGGCTAGCCCAAGTCCTTGGGGAGGAGGGATGAAGGCAATAGAAGAATAGCATTGCATTTATTCTGTCTCCACAGGCTCTCTATACCCACCCCAACCTTTCCTGGTTCTGTTGTTATTATTCTTGTTTTACTTAAAATTTTTTCCTGGATAATTTTATATTCTGATAAAATAGCTCAAATCCCTTATGGAATCAGGCTAGCTATGCATATATAAATATAAATGTATATTTTAATAGAAAAATTATAAAAATATTACATTTATATCATGTAGTATATATAAATGTATACATTTAAATTTTAAGGATACATTCAAAATTTAATGCTTATTATACTATATGTAGATCTTACTCCTGATTTTGGCCTACTAAAGCTGTCATCAAATCATGTTTTTGTCTTCATAAAGTCCTGAGACTGAGAAATCCTTCCAGATTCTCTAGCACAGGCTCCTGGGCGAGGGCACAGGGTAGATGCCATCTGGTCTCTAGAGTCAGGAATTTATAGCCTGGTGGGACGAGGGCTGGCTGGAGGTGGGAGGGTCAAAACCTAGGGACAACATCAAAATTCTGACTGAAAACTCTGCTTTTGACACAAAATAAAGTGCACAAAATATATAAGACCATACATATAAGTCAAGTTCTTCAAAGGGTGAGATTGTCACAACACTGAGATTCAGGCACAAAATCTGCGGTGTTAGTAATAATTCTTGTGTCTAATGATAGAAAGTAATTGAGTTACATAAAGAAGAGGATGGGTACAACAAACCCAAATAAGCATTTTATGGTGAGGAGATTGTGGCTGGGGATAACAAAGTGCCTTAGCATTTTGTAGGTAAGTGTAACTGGCTCTGTGAGAGTTAGGAAGCAACGTCTGTTACTGAATCTTTTTAACTGAGGGCAAATGGCCATCCATGCTGCAACCCAGTTATTCTAGCCCCTTCTCAACACGATAAAGGTGCACCAGGATGCAGTTGAGGAAGAATATGAGTATATACGAGGACCACATTCTCTGTGTTGTATTATGTGTGTTAATTCCATCATGACAGTGCAGTAGTATTTAGACAGGACTACTGTATGGGAAGTCTTTATAGGTGCAGGAATAAAGAAACAATGGTGAAGCAACCCTGTAGAGATCGGAGTTTGATGATGGTGAAGGAGAACCGAAAGAAATGATGAACTCCTATTCTTTTCTTCCTCCTCCTTTCCCTCTCCTTCTATCTAGAAAAGTGTTTGTGTTAAACCTCCTATATTACAAGTACAATTAGATCTTTCTAGAATTTACAGTCCAGCCAGGAAAAAAAAGATATAACTTATTTTATGTCTTTTAAATCTCAAACCAGGATATTACAGGCACCACTGATTTTCCTATTTATACTTCTCCTTGGTTTTTCTCTTTTTACAAATATTTGGCAAAGTACATAGAATATTTAAACTGTACATGTGTCATATCATAGCATATGACATACTTGTATTAACACTGACATATGCTCTACTAAATAAGTATTTCATAGATATAAACAATATCTGGGAAATAATAGGTCTTAGGTCCAAAAATGCGTCTGAGATTCAAAGGTGAGAGCTGTTCTTTCAAAACTATGAAATACATGAAACCTGTCCTCTTCATTTTAATAAAAATTTTTAAAAAGGAAGGAAAAAAATCTCAGTGGAACTGAAAGGGCATGTGGTACAAGATAGGAAACAAGGGAGTTCTTGGTGGTGGTGGTGGTGGTGGTGGTGTGTGTGTGTGTGCATGCAGAAAGGGTAGTGCGATAATGACAGGTGCTGTGTCTCTCATCTGGGCCAAACAAATATCCTCAGAGTGTGGTTTTCTCACATGATCGGAAAGTTGTAAGTTTACAGAATATTGATATATTCTAATCTAAGTTTATAGTATACTTTAAATCTTGGAAAATTATCTTTGGATTACTTCTATTTAATAAGTCTAATATTTCAAGTCTATATCTAACTGCAGGGCATGTATAGATGGCTTCCAAGGCTCTACCAACTGCCTAGAAACACACGTACCACTGTGTTCATTTTCTGTAGGAAGTCTCTAGCTTTCTCCAGCTTTGAACTTACGACCATAAAATGGCTAAGACCCAATGAACAGATAATTACAAATTTAGAAATAAAGCCCTATTCCAAGGACAGTTCTTTTCTCTCTCATAAAATTAGGCCTTTTAGCATATAATTCTGACAGGAATATGTACTTACGTCAAGAGCCACAGACTGTTTGGCCCAGGACTTCTTCACTTGATCGTACATAATCGTGTTGTTGATGCCAAGGCCACAGAAGATGACAAAAGCCTAGGGAAGAGAAAGCTTACTAATTAAAAATTGCAATAAATCATTGGCAAAAATCTAATATGAAAGCAGGCAGTCATAAGGGATAGGTATGAAATGTAATTTTATTGTACACAGAGGGGACCTTGGGGAAATATATGCATTAAATTCTTAATTATTATTGTCATGAAACAACTTTATAGCTCACTCTGCACATGAGGAAAATTATTAATTTAATGCCATTGTGAAGAAAATGCTTCATGCGTTTAAAAAACATACAGTCTGGCTTAAATGTGTTCTTAATGTGCTAGGCTGTGGGCTGATTTAGAAATTCCATTTTATTTCACCAAAAACAACCTCTTTCAGTAGCTAGGCTATACAACATGTTGATAAAGAAATGGAGTGCAATGATAACGTAAGTGTTAACGGGAAGGGAGACTGATATAGAATCAGTTAATAATGGAGCTGTGTGGTATTCTTGGTTACAGAAAAATAATTATGGGATCTTCATGCAAGCTACTGGCGTGGTTGACAAGAAGCTCATGCAAGGCCAACCTCTTTAGCTACAGGGACTGGAGTGAATGGAAGCTTGCAAATAAAAGAAATATGATGCAATACAGCTTGCAGAGCTGGCTATGGGGTCTCATAACTCTGAACACTTATGAACAAGACAAGGATAAGACAATAACACTTCGCAGAAAAGAGGGAGAGATTCAATTCTGTAATAACATTGGGGAAAAAAATAACTGAAGGTTACAAAACAATCTTAGATTCAATTCTGTAATAACATTGGGATAAAAATAACTGAAGGTTACAAAACAATCTTATTAGTGAAAAATAGAATCAAATCTCACCTGAGTATTTATATATACTTAACTCTTCCTTTAAATGTTGTTACACCATTTAAGTACAGTAATATTGATTAATATTATTCATCCTTACAAATTTGGGCAAGAGGAAACAGGAGACTACTGGTTACTCGAGAATAATTCTTGGTTTGTAATTTATTCTCCTACCTCAAAAAGTCGTTGATCTGCATCATCAAAAGGTTTCCCATCAAGTCTATTCAACACTTGAGCCACCCCTATGGGAAAAGTTTGGGGTGTGTTATCATTTTTATTATGTATATTGAAGTTATAAAGCATGATATTATGGGATACATAAAGCTAATATTACAAATGAGCATATCTATCATGTTGCTACAATAGGGTAAGCCAAGGCCAACCCCATATCTCCATTCAGCAGCTGCAGAAACTCATTTTAAATTCTAGCCTCTCTAGCATATTATGACTACATGCAGTCTCTATTCGTGGCTACGACATGTCAGTGAAAGTAGGAGATCTACCAGGCATCAATCTGACTCACTGAAATTGGTTTCCAATAGGATTTTGTACAATAACTCTGATTTACCTGGCGTGTGGCATGTGTGCACACACACACATACACACACATGCACATGAGGGGGTCTTCAAATTGTTCGTGGAAAATCTGTATTATGTAAAAATTTCATGGATTTTAAACTTTTTAGCACCAAAATAGGCTTATCTTTCAATTCCATTTCCTACAATCCCTTTCAAGTATCCTCCTATATACAATCATATAAAACTGAATATAGATGCATATATATTTTTTTCCAATTACCCAAAACCAGGTACTTGAGAGAGGCAATATGGTGTATGCTTAAGAACATTGGATTTGGACTTAGATTTGGACTTCACCATCAGCTAGCTGTGTGACCCTGAGCAAGTCACCTGTTTAGCACTGAATTTCCTTAACTGTAAAAATGGGAATTAGGTTGTTAACTATTAGAATATTAAATGACATAATGAGATTTTTGAGAATAAATTTTCTTGTGTGTAATTAGGGAATACAACATGATATTATGGAATACATATAGTTTAAAAGGTTATTATAGTAAAGCAAATTAACATATCCATCAACTAACACAGTTATCCTTTTATTTGTTTGTTTGTTTTTTGTGGCAAGGGCAGCTAGAATTTCATTTAGTATGAATCCCCAACATAGAACAAACTTATTAACTAGAGTCTTCATGCTATTCCTTAGATTTCTAGACTTGTCATCCCACATATCTGCTACTTTGTATTCTCTGACCCCTATCTCCTCATTTACTTCCCACCTCCAAACCCTGGGTAAGGATAGGTTTCTAAAAAATTTTTATTAATACAACGGGAAAAGATTTCATGCAATCCATAGGTACAGTTCTTAGAAGACAACCACACTTCCCTCCCACACCACCACCAACTAAATCATCCTCCCTCCCTCCCCCTCTTCATCAGTTTTTGCAGAGATATAATTTTAATTCATCTGTATTCATAGGCTTAATTCACCACTAACCATAATATTCAATAAGTAAAATGTAGGTAGACCACAGTTCCACAGGAAGATAAACAAGGGCTAAAAATAACAATCATATCACAAAATGTCCATTTCATTCCTATACATTTTTTTGTATTCTGTATTAACTGTTACATATCAGAAAACATGATATTTGTCTTTTTGAGACTGGTTTATGATAAGGACAGTTTTAATCTCTATAAACAAGACAACGTTTGAGTATTTGTAAAGTATTTAGCATATTGCTCAGAGAGGATACATATTTAAGAAATGTCAGTAATTACTACAAGCAATGGAAACTGATATGATAGAATTAGTCTTCAAAGAAAGACTGGATCTAAATTTAATTTTCTGTCTTTAACTATGAATTTTTCTAGCCTGGGCTTCATTCTGATGTTTGGTAACTTTCCTGACTGAGATTTTTGATGGGGAGGGGAGAAGAAAAAACAAAAGCCCATTTTTGCCCATAATCCTGTATTCTGGGAAAATGTGGCCTGTTTCTGAACCATTGGGGCGGAAAGATGCATGTTCAGTTTATGTGTAAGCCTGTGTGTTCTTTCTTCCTTTGCCCTTACACCACCTATGAAAGCACACAGGTAAATGCACAGATAGTGGAAAAGTGTGTACTAGGAATTAGGCAACCCGAGTTTTAATCCTGACCCTGCTAATTGAGTAAATTTGTGACTTAGGTAAGATAAAAAAATTCTCTTGATTTCTGAGATCTCCTCCAATTTCAAAATGTAAGGGTTCTTTGTACTTAATTAATATGTTAATTTTAATGAAAAATTCTGTTTATTTATAGAAGAACTTTGAACTATTTAGGAAGTATCTTACCAATTATTTGGTGGTTGCTATTCCAAATAGGGACACAGAGAACAGATCTTATATGAAAACCAGATATCTGGTCAGCCTAGGTTGTAAGAAAGAAAAATTCAATATTAACTATACATTTATGATTTACAAATTATTATTATTCACAACAAATATTCAAAAATAACCTTTGAAAATTTATTGTTAGATATTGTAACATAATTTTCAAGGTGTATAATCACTTATCTCCTTTTTTCACTTAAAATATCACTGTGAAGAGCCCAAGGAAACCAAATAATAATCAACGAAAACACCCCAAACCAACACTCCTCCCCCAATCCCTGCAGCCACAGAGAACTGAATGAAAAGGATCCTAATTCCGACCTCACCACCAGACAAGAATGTGGGCAACTACTTCAGCTCTGAGAAGTCAAAAGTATTTTAATTAAACCATTGGTCAATACTTACCTTTAATTATTAAAAATGTTTGCACCTACAATGTTGCTATATGTTCCTAAATAGCCTATATTTTTACTGTTACTAAGTTATTATGTATGTTGTAAAATCATATATGAAAAAATAGAAATTGGGAAAGATAAATGTAGAGGTTGAAGATCTATTTCTCTAAACCCTAACATTTATTGGGAGATGATAGGTTTGAAATAATTATCAGTTCAAACATTATATAGTAACAAGTTCTACTTATACTAAAAAAATTGGCAATACAGGAAAAGTTAGGGAGGAGTTGCTAAGTGCCTCAGCAAGTTAATGTGATTTTGGTGAGAAAGATCAGACTGTCACCCTAATTCCATAGGAGAAAAAAAATGATATCAAGCTTTTCAATCATGGTTACTGAGATAAAAAGATATTTTTAAACATCCATTGTAAAACTTATGAGTTATATACTTTTTAAAAATTGAAATTGGGATTTCATTTATGCAGCCTAAATTTTATATCTGGTATTTCTCTTATTGGCTTTCCTTTTTCAGAAATTAATTTTTTCTATGTGTTCTATTTTTTGTACAAATATCATAGTGTCTCTTTTTAAATATTATTTTAACATTCCATTGTGTGCATATGGAATGGTATAAAAAAATCATAAACAGAGCTCAGTAAATTTTCACAAAGTGAATGTACTGATGTAAAAACCATCCCTGGGATCAAGAAACTAAACACAATCACTGTCCCCAAAGCCACCTACCTGTCCCTTCTCTTCTCCCAAAAGACAACCAACCATACACTGACTTCTATCACCTTACATGAGTTTGCTTGTCTTTATCTTTACATAAAAGGACTCATTGAATGTACATTCGTCTACTTTTGGCTTCTTTTGCATAATATCGTGGTTTTTGAGATTTATTAATTTTGTTCCTTTTCATGACAATATCCCATTTTAGCTATGTGAATATAACATTATTAATTAATACTATTCTTCATGAACATTGGCCTATGATCTGTTTGCAGCATCACAAATAATGCATTGTCACTATTCAAGCATATTCTTAGTATACACATGCATGCATTTCTGTTGTGTAAATATCTAAAACAGAACTGCTGCCTTGTGTGTATGTTCAGTTTCAATAGATATGTCCAAATACTTCTCTAAAGTACTTGTACCTATTTACCCTCCAATGTAGCTGCTATGTCAAAGGAACTGCTGAGCTATAGCCAGGACAGTCTATTCCATAAATGGTGCTGGGAAAATTGGATTTCCAAGTGCAGAAGCATAAAGCAAGACCCTTACCTTTCACCTTACACAAAAATCCACTCAACATGGATTAAAGACCTAAATCTACAACCCGACACCATCAAACTATTAGAGAACATTGGAGAAACCCTGCAAGATATAGGTACTGGCAAAGACTTCTTGGAAAAGACCCTGGAAGCACAGGCAGTCAAAGCCAAAATTAACATTTGGGATTTCATCAAATTGAGAAGTTTCTGTACTGCAAAAGAAACAGTCAGGAAAGTGAAGAGGCAACCAACAGAATGGGTTGCCTCTCTTAGTTTGTGAAGATATTTTCCTATAATATTTACTATTTTAACATTTGCACTTAACCCAAGTGAAAAAAATATTTTCATGTATAATGTGAACTAAGAATCAAGACTCTTTCTGTAAAATGGCTATCCAATTGGGTAAGCACTGTTTTGAGTGAAAAAAAAAATGCTTTTGCTCACCACTGTTGGTATAACCCTTTTATTAACTAAGTATCCATATATGAGTATTTCAAAAAATTCATGAAAAAAGGACCTAAAAAAAGCTTATTTGGTGTTAAAACTTGTGAAATACCAATATGAGGAATCTTCTAACAGTTAATGGAAAAAAAATCATGTAAAAACTTGCCATAGATTTCAAACATTTTTTGCATCAAAATAAACTTATCTTTTAATTCCACTTTACAAAAAATTCCACTTTACAAAAAAATACCCTTGTATGTTTGGATATGTTTTGGGAATTCTTATTTTTAACCACTAATCTAGGTGTCTATCCTTATACCAACACCATGTTACCTTAAATAATATAGTTTTTTAAAAAAGATTTATTTATTTTATTTGAAAGGCAGAGTTACAGAGAAGCAAGGGAGAGAGAGGGAGAGAGATCTTCCATCCACTGGTTCACTCCCCAGATGGCTGCAAAGGTGGGAGCTGTGCCATCCGAAGCCGGGAGCCAGGAGTTCTTTTGGGTCTCCCACATGGGTGCAGGGGCTCAAGCACTTGGGCCATCTTCTACTGTTTTCCCAGGCCATAGCAGACAGCTGGATCAAAAATGGAGCAGCCATGACTCAAACCCACACTTATATGGGAAGCAGGCACTGAAGGCAGTGGCTTTACCTACTAGGCCACAGTGCTGACCCAATAATATAGTTTTATAATAATTTTTGGCATTTACTATTACAAAGCTTCAACTATGTTCTTTTTCTTCAAAATTGTCTTAACCAATTTTGAGCCTTGGCATTTCCATATAAATTTTAGAATCATCTCTCAGTTTATATGCATACATGTTGCTGGAATTTTTATTGAAACTGTATTGAATCCATCAATCGATTTGGGGGAGAACTGACACCTTAATAAAAAAAACACTGAGTCTTTCAATCCATAAGCATCCTTCATTTCTCTTAGGTTTCTAAAAATTTTCTCTCTTCAAAGTTTTATAGTTTTCTATGTAGAGATCTTACGTATAGTTTATTATAATCATATCTTATTATTCTAAAAATTCATGCTATTATAAATGATATTTTTTTCTTAAGTTTGTAATTGGTACAAGAAATATAATAAACTTTTCTGTTGTGGACTTGTATGTATCAATCTTACTACATTCAATTATCAAATTAATGTTTTGGATTTTCTAGCCACATCATCATGTCATTTTTTTTTTTTTTTTTTTTTTTTTTTTACAGGCAGAGTGGACAGTGAGAGAGAGAAACAGAAAGAAAGGTCTTCCTTTGCCATTGGTTCACCCTCCAATGGCTGCCGTGGCCAGTGCGCTGCAGCCGGTGCACCGCGCTGATCCGATGGCAGGAGCCAGGTACTTCTCCTGGTCTCCCATGGGGTGCAGGGCCCAAGGACTTGGGCCATCCTCCACTGCACTCCCTGGCCACAGCAGAGAGCTGGCCTGGAAGAGGGGCAACCGGGACAGAATCCGGTGCCCCGACCGGGACTAGAACCTGGTGTGCTGGCGCCGCAAGGCGGAGGATTAGCCTAGTGAGCCGCGGCGCCGGCCGTCATCTTACTTTTTAATTCTTATGCCTTTTAATCATGTGATTTTAGGTCAAGTGATTTTTCTTTTGTAGTATAATAGAGTGAATTACATAGGTCAATTTTCAGAATTCCATATGTAAAATAAGCAGAAACACAAAAACATAAACATTGGCATAAATCATTCATCAAGGGCACTCTTGCAATAGATAGGTATTTACTACCTCCTATGCACTTTGCTTGGAGTTGAAGATATTCAACATTTATGTAAATGAATCCAAAACATTCGTTTTTGTGGGCCATTACCTTTGAGGAACTCACAGTCTAGCAAAGATGCAAATAATGACAAAATAGGTGTCCAAGTAGAGAATGTTCAAAACACTGTTAAAAAGCCAACTGTTTATAGAGAAAACAGGAACTGCTTTAGAGGCTTTAAACTGGGTCTTCCAAGATGATGAAGATGATGAATTCACATTTATTGGATGTTCACTATGTGTCAGGCACCCTGTTCACTTTCACATGTGTAACTTTATATATATATTTTAAAAAAATCTTCTGAGGCAGGGACTATTATCATCCTCCCTTATCAGTGAGACTTAGAGGAATTAACTGCCTTGAGAGGGAGAGACTGGTTCAAAGAAGGTTAGACAATAACAAACACATTCTTCAAAGTTATCTTCTAAAAGAACAAAGTGGTTTTCTTCCTCTCCCTAAGGATAAAGCCTGAATTGAGGCAATGCCAGCAGGCAAGAAGGGAAGGAAGCCAGTTTTAGAGAGGTTTCGCAGGTGTACTCTACAGACTCAGGCTGTTCTGTTTTGCAGAGGGAGGGTCATGAACTATTGTACAATCGTGGGCTCAGCCACAACTGAGCAGTAAGCACAATCACTCCGCCAACTCTGGGACGACTGTAGCCCCTGCCTAACCTCTCCTCAAATCTGAAGCAGGTGAGGACAGAGGTCACGGTGGGCAAGAAGGGGAACGTTCAGTGACGCAGGCAGCTCTAGAAGCTGGTGGTCAGAAAAGCAAACCTTGGGCTGCTTGCCAATGAAATAAAAGAGATTTCTGTTTGCTATCATTTTTAAAGCACTGCAGTTTTCCCATCAGTAAGAAGGTTAACCTTGAGGTTTCTGGTTTGAGGAAGGATGCTAGAGTTTGTTGAAGTGGGGAACAAGGGAAATTTGAAGAAAACACTACCAAGTTCAAGTTGACACACAATACATTTGAGATGGCAACAGGAGAGAAGGAGGGGCTTTCCACTGGTAAAATCACTAAGGGAGAAGTTTCCAACAAACAACCTAAGAATTGAATCTTGGGGGACACAATATTTAAGGCCAGAAGAGGACAGTGATGTTAGTGACAGGGATGAAAAAGAATCCCAAAACTCAAACTCTTAATTTAAAGAC